ATCTTGCTTCAGCAGCACATATACTAAAGTTGGAATGATACAGAGAAAATTAGTGTGGCCCCTGTGCACCTTGACAGTTTTAAGGCATGGTGGTTGGATGTTTTGTAGAGTGGGAGAGTCAGGTAATTATTTTTTGTGGTTACCATGTGGCTGTGTCATACAGATCCAGTGCCCTTTTTTTATTATAGCAAGCAAAGAAAAATTAACTTGATGGGCAGTTTGCTATATTCATGTGAAATGACTTAATTCCATTATATTATTTTTTCTAGACATGAAACTATATCCTTGGTTTGGCACCTAATAGCATCCACAGTGGGTCATGTGTAAAGCAACCCTCAATGCTCTCTCCATATCAATTTATTATGGGGTTTTATGGGGATAACAGACTCACTGATACAGGATAAGGTAAATCCAGTTCCAGCATCCTTGGAAAGCTGGGGACCCATCACAAGCTGCTTCACACCACCTGATCTGGTCTTCACCACCCAAGAGAGTGACCACATGTGCCCTCCTCAGATTTAAGCTGTCACATAACCAGCCAAAAGGCCACGCCCAAAAAGTCAGTACTCCAAAGCTATTGGGGGAATGAATACCCACTACAGTCATGTCCATAGGAGTGACCCAAATTAATATCTGTAGGCCATGGTCACTCAGATTGTACTTCTTAATGGACTCTTTCTTACTCCTGTTGAGGCTCGTGAGAGCTATGATGTTGTCCATGGCTCTTGACCTTTTCACCTTTTAATGGTTTGTTCTAAAAGCTAGTTAGATCATCTGTCACAGTCTGACCTGTGAACATGTGAGCCTCATGTCTCTCCTTCCCATCCTTCCTCATTGGTCCAGCACCCAGGACCCCCAGGATATCGCCTCCTTCTTAAGATTCTCTTCTCTGTAGCTGACCACTACCAAGCACCTAACACTTTTTTTTTGTACCAAAATATTTCTGCAGTGCATCATGGGATTGATTTTTCCAGTTCCAACAAGTAATCCTAGTAGACAAATATGCATTCACACATACATCATCTCCAGGGAGCAAATATTAATGATACTTCTATGTGGGAAAGGCTGTCATGAGCCTGGTTTATGGGTGATGTAACATTTGTGGTTGTCTGTGGGGCGTTTACCCACCAACCCCACAAGTCCCCAGAGTTTTCTTGAGTGTGAGCAGCAGGAAATATTAGATAGATTTAGATAGGAGGATTTATTGTGGAGAATCTTGCGGAGATAAACAGATAGAAAATAAAGGATAGCCTCAAGAGGGCCTGGAACCTTTTCCAATGGGCCCAGACTGTCTCTGCCCCAGGGTATTTATAGAGATGCCAAGGGGTGGAGCAAAAGACCTCCCCCAGCACAGCCAAGTGCAGACCATCTTAGACACCTGCACTCAGGCCCGTGGTCCTAATCATCCACTATGCGGACCTGCTAGGTAAAGCCACAAGGAACCCGAGAATGGGCTCCCACAGTTGTCCCACTTTGTTTTGAGGTGGACACCATATATCTTGAGATTGGTTCATCTTTGTCCTTCAGGAAAACACCTGCCACCATGAACAAGTGGATGAACATCAATAAGTCACACTTCCCAGAAGTCACCGGCTTTGGCCCACAGCTCCCTGTCTGAGCCCCTTGAGGGCTCATTCTGGCTTGGGGTACCTATGGGTTATTATTTCTCATCCTGAGCATCTCCTTCATACATCATTGTTATTCCTCATAGAGACACGAAGGCAATGTGTAGGGATGTTTGAAGTTCTCACACTTAGGCAAATGCATTTACTATATTGATATATACTGTATATATTAGAAATAAATTAAATATGATACTAACAGCTCCCCATTATAAAGGACTCAGAACGTCCCATTTTATCGACTGTACACCACACAAAACAATCCGAGGCACTTGTATTGTGGACAGATAAACATGTTCGACCTGCTATGGATATGAGTTGTTTATATAGGAAGTATTTCTCCATATGATCTCGCTTACCTCACGTGTGAAATTTAAAAGTTGGTTATGCTAGAGGATGAATGTTTAATGACAGTTATCAGGGGCTGGAGAGTAGGGCAGAGCCAGGCATGGGGAAGGCTGCTTTATGGCACTAATTCACAGGTAGACAAGAGCAATAGAAGTTATGGTGTGCACAGTCGAGTGACTGTAGCTAATAATGGTCTATGGAGTATTTCAAAACATCTTCACAAAGGCATCTGAATGTTTTCACCACAAGGGAAAGATAAACATGTGAACACAGTCATACACAGAGAGAGTTTGATTCAGGAAGAGGGGCGGAGCAAATGGGACATCTCAGGAGGGTAGAGGCTGCGGGGCTCCATGTAAGATAATGAAGAGGGGCCGTGAGCTGAATCTCCAGGTAAAGCACTTGTTGTCCAGCCCGACAACCTGAGTTCAGTCCTAGGAACCCACACAGTGGAAGGAGAGAACAGATTCCATCATGTTCTTTTCTGACCTCCGCATGTGTGCCTTGGCACTCCCACCCCCCCCCCCACACACACACACACACACTCCCCCCGCCCCCCCCCGCCCCCCCGCACACAATGAATAATAATAGTAATAGGTAAGGAAAATAGAAGGGACTGGGCATAAAACTGAGTATGAGGTACCCTACAGTCATCTGCAGAGAGATGGTGCAGTAAGTAAGCATGTGGAAGAGACAGAAGGAGCTGCCTGAAGGCGAGAGCTGACCACACTGGATCCAGGGCTGACAGCCTGATGGCCACCAGCCTTTCTGTTCCCTGATTGTAGTTCCTAGCCCACATCGCCCCCCATTCTGCTGTCTGTGCTTCCTGCGGAGGGGGGAGGGGCGGGGGAGGCGGGTGCACGGCTGTAGCTCCGCCTTCTCTTCATGCTCCACCTTCTTCCGGCAATGGGATCTCTCCTCCCACCCGAGTCCTCAGCTTTCCACACACAAGTGTCTCCTGGCCCCCACAAGGCACTGTGAGTCACACTTCCATGGTGGCCTTGGGGGCTCAGTCTGTAGCACTCCCCATCACTAACCACCTGCTGTATACCTGGCAGTAGTCTGCTTCCTCGATTCAGCCTGTGAAGGAATCCACGGCTCTTCTCTCTCCTATGGAAGCACACTTTTCTTCCTGCGGGGCAGAGTCTGGGATGTTCTGGCCTTTTTGCTCTTAATTCTGTTTTCCCAGAAATTGTGCTGAAAGTCCAGAGCCCTGGTGGACTGGTATGCAGGCCTTTTTCTAAATTTCAGACCATGCAATGAAAGATTATACAGGAGAGGACGGGTTTAATTTCATTAATTCTCGAGGATGCCATACATGCCAACAATGTACTTTGATCATATTCATCCCCACTCCTCTCCCCAGCTCCTCTCAGATTTACCCTTGTCCCTTCCAAATTAGTGTCCTTTTGATTATTTTATTTTAAAAAATTGCATCTTAGTCTTACGAGTGTTTTGCTGACATGTATGTCTGTGAACCCTGTATGTGCCTGGTGCCCATGGAGATACAGACAGGTGTGAGTCTTCCTGTGGATGCTGAGAATCGAACCAGGGTCCTCTGGAAGATTTCTGGTCAGGACTGACTTGATTTATCCCTGTCCGGTGACCAGTGCATGTAGTGTCGTCAGCATTGGGTCTTACCATCAAGTTGTGGAGGGTCGGTAGGAGCAGTGGTAATACCCTGTACTGTTCGGGGTGTCTCAGGGACACCCCTGACCACC